TGTGTATGTGTTAGGTATTTTCGAGATAGGGTCTCTCTTAACTACTTCCTTGGGCTGGTTTCAAACTGTGATCCTCTTAATCTCTGCCTCCTGAGTAGCTAGGATTACAGGCGTGAGCCACTGGTGCCCAGAGCTATAACTCTCTCTTGATCTGAAGAGTTTCTTCTGTCTGCCAACAATGTTCTGTTCTGTTTTTTTTAATTGTGTTTTTTTTAAAAATCATAAAAGTTTTCCATCTTAACCATTTTAAGTAGTAATTAAATTCACTGTTGTACAACAGGTCTCTAGCACTGTATTTTTTTCTGGTAAAACTAGAATTCTATAAAATCATCTCTGTCCCAGGGCACTGATTCCAGGGCACCCTACCAAAATCCAGAGTTCATTATATAAAAGTCCTTATGAGATGGCATAGTATTTACATATAACCTGTGCACATCCTCCCAGATACTTTAAATGATAATCTGTGATTACTTAGACCTAATACAAAATAAATGCAACAAATAGTTACATTTTTATGGCAAAACAATAAAGGTCTGTTCAATGGAGAGATGATCACAATTTTTTACAAATACAGTTTCAGTACTCAGATGTAGAGAGCTAGATGGATTCATTAAACACTAATTAGCTTTCCTTCATGCCTGTTAACCAACTTTACGCTTTGTTTCTAAGATGTGGCCATTCTTAGCACCTCCTTTGGGTGGAATCCTACAGTGTTCTTTTGTGACTGGCTATGTTAGCATTAATAACCTTGTTTCATCTGTTTTGTAGCATGTGACAGAATTTTCTTTTTTAAGACTGTAGGATCCATTGTGTACATATACCATATTTGGACATTTAGGTTGCTTTGGCCTCCTGTCTATTGTGAGTAATACTGCTGTGAACATGGGAGTACAACTATTTCTTCTAGACCCATTCAGCTTTTTGAGTAACATCTATACTGTTTTCTGTAAGGGCTACACCCATTTTATATTTCTAACAACAGTACACATGGGTACCAATTCCTCTGCATTCTTACACTTGACTATTTTCTGTTCTTTTGATAGTGGTCACCACAATGATGAATTTAAGGCAGTCTCATTGTGGTTTATTTGATTTATTTTGGCTTTTTTTTTTTCTTTTCTCAGTCAAACTTGGTAGGCGGGTGCTCTGCCTCTTAAGCCATTCTGCAGCCATTTTTTGTGTTGCTTTTTTTTTTCTTTTCTCAAGATAGGATCTCAAAACTATTTGCCCAGGCTGGCCTGAAACTGTGATTCTCCTGATGTGAGACAAAATGTTACTATGTAGCCCAGGCACATGCTACCATACAACATAGTGTGCTTTCTCCTCTTTGGAAAACCAAGATGTTGACTCAGTTTGAGTCATCTTTTTTGCTTTATGTTTCAGATAGGGTGTCCTTGATCTCTGTCTCCCATGTAGCTGGGGTTAGAGGTGTCAGCCACCATTCCTTTCTCCTGTTCACTCATTTCTCATTAGTTAAAATTTTTTTCTCATCAAGGGGAGGCAGGAGGGATAAAGGAGAATGGTGAAGGGGTCAAGTGTGATATGTTTGATATACTGTAAGACCTTTTGTAAATGCTGCAATGTTCCCCATCCAGCACAATAAAAAATTAATTTAAAAATTTTTTGCATCAAAACCTTTCTCATTTAATTGTAATTCCTAAGTAGTCAGTGCTTTTTCAGCCATAGTGTGAAAGAAAGCAGTTACTTTAACAGCAGGATATAACGTCTATGGTTATTTTCTCCCCACAAAGGTAGACTGAGTAGATAAAAACAACTGTCTGCCTTGCAAAATTTAAAATTTACTCTCTAGCCTTTTACAAAAAGTTTGTTGACTCCTCTGAGAGAAAGGTTTTACTGCCCTGCTTTCTATGGACATAAATGATGTGAAAGAAGTGTTCCACACAGTTGTCTGATGCATTTTCTAAATTATATTTCTGTGATTAGACTATCCTTTCATGAGACTGAGTAATGATGGTGGAAGGTGCCTTACTTTGTACCTAAACATAGTGTACTGAGATTGAGAATCACTCAGTCTGTATTATAATTTCACCAATCTGATCTGTTTGGTAACTCTTGCTATTATAAATTTCAAAAAGTTAAATGAGTCAAACTGGTATCTACATAACTGAATACAGACAAGTTTGAAATGCATTTATATTACAGGATTACACACTGATTTAGTGATTGGAAATTGAGCTGTTCAGGCTTGGTAAAATATTTCCTAATCTGAGTTTTCTGTTTTGAAATGCCACTTACTTGTTGACTTGGTTTACTGTTTAACAGTTGGGAATGGTTTTTCCACTAAGGAGACATTTGGCAACATATTTAGAGGCACTTTTGTCACAGCTGGGGTGGTGGTGATGGTGCTGCTACTGCTACCATGGCTAGAGATCAAAGATAATACTTTTTTTTTTTCTTTTGCAGCACTGGGGTTTGAACTCAGCTTCATGCTAGCTAGGCAGGCACTCTTACTTGCTTGAGCCACTCCTCCAACCCTTTATTGTGATGGATTTTTTTTGAGATTTAAAGAGAAGTTTTCAACAATGCCCAGGGCTGAGGGCTGGCTGTCCAGGCCCAATGGTGTGCCCTGGCTCATCGAGAGATCTGAGCAGCTGGACAGAAAGGTTTGAGTCCTAGAGAATGGTAGTTTGACACCTTTTTTTGTTTTTGGGAGGGGTGATGACAAGTTAAGATCAAAGAGGGAAAGTGATCTCTTTAATATTATAGAATAATTAGTAAGGCTGGAGAAGAACTCTGAAGAGACCAGAGTTCTTTCTACTATACTTCATGAAAGAGAGCCTAAGATCTTTGCAAATTATCTTCTTGTGGGGATACCTAAAGCTGCCCTTGCCCTCCTCCTCCCACCCCCTTGACAGAGCCAACAGTGGGTCAGTTGGATCAGAAGATGAGAAACATGGAAACAACTTTGTAAGGGAAAGAGAAATGTATAGTCTCTGACCCATCTTCAGGATCCACCACCTTAAATCTCATTGTATATATCTTTGATTTCTTTTTACAGGTGGAAAGCCTTAAGTAGAGAACTCAGTGAATATTGCATCAAAGAAGGCTGTGTAGACAATACTGATTGCAAAGTGGAAAAAGCAAGAGTAGCTGGGCGCCAGTGGCTAATACCTGTAATCTTAGCTACTCCAGGAGGCACAGATGAATGATCAAGAGGATCAAAGTTCAAAGCCAGTCTCGGCAATCAGTTTTCGAGACCCTATCTTGAAAAAAAAAACCATCACAACAAGAAAGGCTGATAGGGTGGCTCAAGGTGTAGGCTCCAAGTTCAAACCCCAGTACCCCCCCACCCCAAAAAAAAAAAAAAGCAAGAGTATGAGAACTTGTGATGCTGCCTGCACTGCATTTAAACTCAGGGTACCAATTTTGGGATGAACTACAATACATTCCCCTGTTTCTTAAAAACAAGCTGGAAGTGGGCCCCATCATCCAGTGCAACACTGTCCCTGCTGCAGTTGCTCTGGCTGATGTCCTCAGGCCAGACCCCATCCCCATCCTGGACTTTAGACCTTGTGGGTTCCTGCCTTCCATGCCATTCTTCTCAGAGCAGTGCCCCAACCCCAAATTGGAGTGTGATCACTACAAGTGAAAGTTTTGGTGTTCACCAACTGTGATTTGTAAAAAGAAAACTTTGAAACCTCTTGTGGGGACAAAGTCTTCTTAAATAGAATATGAGAGCTAATAAAAATGAATCTTGGCTTGCTTATGAAGGACAAGATGCAATTAAAAGGAGAACGTCTATGCTTGTTCAATAAAACTTGAAATGCCCAACATTTTTTTTTTCCATGTTAAAAAATAAAAATAACTGCCCAGTCCCAACTGATGGTGCACATCTGAAGCATTTGTCACGCAAAAGCAGGAGGATCAAGAATTAGAGGTCAGCCTGTGCTACATAATGAGATCCTGGGAATAACCACACACACGCGCACACACACCAAAATGTTCAACTCACTTAGGTAAAATGGCAGAATTAGCACGTATAGTTTGTGCAGCACATGCTCCTAAATTGTTTATCCTTTTTATTTTTTGAGAGGTCTTTCCTGTATTGCTCAGGCTGGCCTCAAGCAGTAGTCTTACAGTTTATTTAGTGGTGCCAGGGATTGAATTGAGGGCTTTGTGCATGCTAGGTAAGTGCTCCATCACGTCAGTTATGCCCCAGCCATTTTGATTTTATTTTGGTGTTCATTTTTGTGGGGTTTTTTTTGGTGGGGGGGGGCAGTGCTGGGGTTTGAACTCATGGATTCAAGCTTGTTAGGCAAGCTTGAGCCATCCACCAGCCCTGGTTTTTTTTTTTTTGGTATTTTTGAGATAGGGTCTCTCACACTTTACCCAGGGCTGGTTCACCTTCAGTCCTCCAGAGTAACTAGGATCATAGGCGTGAGCCACTGGTGTCTGGCTTGGTGTTTTTGTTCTTGTTTTTTGTGGTAATCATGGTTGAACTCAGGGCCTTGTTCTGGGTAGACAGGCGCTGTACTGCTTGAGCTATGCTTCCAACCACCTTTATTTTGTTTTTGAGATAGTCTCAAGGCTACCGTTTCCCAGCCTGGCCTGGAATTCACAATCTTCCTGAGTAGTTGAAATTACAGGTGTGTACCACCATGCCAAGAGCATACAGTATAATTTTTTATGGTGGTACTGGGGTTTGAACTCAGGACCTATACCATGAGACACTCCACCAGCTCTTTTTTGGAGATATGGTCTGGTAAAGTATTTCCTCGGGTTGGCTTCAAATCACAATCCCTGTAATCTCTGCCTCCTGAGTAGCTAGGATCTTAGGCGGGAGCCACTGGCACCTGGCTGGTTGTTCACATTCTTGATAGTTTTCCCTTCAGTGACTTAAAAATGCAAAAGTATAATTTCCCCTTTTATTCATATACCAAAGTATCTATCTGTTGTCTGTTAATCTTAAAGTGTGAGAGCCATGTAATTTTCATGAGTAGGCAAGTGCTGTTAATTATATTTTTGTTGTTAAATAATAGATCTGAGTGGGATGTACTTTTGAAGGATGTGCAATGTTCAATCATAAGTGTGACAAAAACTGACAAGCAGGAAGCTTATGTACTCAGGTAAGTCCTATAAAACAAGTGCTTTCAGTGCTAATCATAATTTAATGTGAAATTGAATTATTCCTCTCAAAAATATTTTTCTGTGGTTTTAAGAATATGGTATAAAATGAAATGTTAGTAACCTCAGTATTCGTAGCCAGCTTTATAGGTGCCAAGTTAATTTATTCAATAAATATTTTGAATGCTTAGTTGTTGTGATAAGCTTTCCATTAAACAAGGTCTCTACTTTTTACTGTGCTTGTGTTTGGCATATGCCATCGTATATTAAAATGCTACTGTGTGCTGTGCTGCAGAAGTACAGCAGTAAATAAAAAATTCCTTTCCTCCTGATGCTATCTAGTGAAAGAAATGATGAGAGATGGTTTCAAAAACAGCATGTGAGAATAGGTGGTGCAAGATAGTAAATAATGTTAGTTTATACAAAAGATAGTTTGTTAGGCTATTTTACATAGCCATCTGGGGGCTTTTATATCCCACATATGTGGATATTTGATCCAAAAAAGATGCATCTTCTAGTACTGTTTGATGTGTGTGTCCTTAGAACACCGATGAATGCAGGAGGAAAGAGTCAAGGAGCTAAATACTTTTCCATTTAATAGAAGAAAAGAATACTGCAGCACATCATTTGCTTCTTTGATGGAACTGGGGTTTGAACTCAGGGCCTCCACCTCGAGCCACTCCATCAGCACTTTTTTTATGATGGGTTTGCTCGAGGTAGGTGTAGGTAGGATTTCTTTAACTGTTTCCCTGGGATGGCTTCAAACCACAGTTCTCTGATATTTGCTTCCTGAGTAGCTAGGATTCAGGCATGAGCTACCGGGGGCCCAGCTGCATTACTAACATTTGTTTGGTTTTTGGTGGTGGTGGAATTTGAACTCCAATCCCCTTGAGCCATGTCCTCAGCTTGAGATCTAGTATTTAAAAGTACCTAGTGAAGCTGGGTATGGTGGACATGCCTAGAATCCCAGTCCTTGGCAGGTTGAGGCAGGAGAATCATGAGGTCCAGGCCCAGCCTGGGCTACATAGTAATATTCTGTCTCAAGTGAGTGGAGATTGAATGACCCAAAATTATAAATGATAATCTAGTAATAGGTTAAATGTATTCTCAGGAGTACATAAATACCATAATAATCTTGTAACTTTTCAATTGCAGTGAGAGTAGCATGTTTGTCTCCAAGAGACGTTTCATTTTGAAGACATGTGGTACCACCCTCTTACTGAAAGCACTGGTTCCCCTGTTGAAGCTTGCTAGGGATTACAGTGGGTTCGACTCTATTCAAGTAAGTAATTAGAAGCATTATTTAACCCTTATTGGGGGGACATAACTAACTGTTGGGATGCTTTTCCGGTGGTGTGTGTAGTAAGTCTGTATATTTTTTGCTTCAGTTTATAATGCACAAGAACACATGGCAAAATGGTCATCATAATAGAGAACTAAAATATCCAGCCTGTTGGTTGAGAACAGCAGAAAAAATGGAGGAAGCAAAGTGAGAGAGTTGAGGTGAAATTCAAATGGGAGAAAGAAATGAACAAGACGTAACTTCCACAGTTCTAGTCATAATCAATATGAATGTGGAGAGATGGGAGCCAAGGATGTAGCTCAGTAGTTGTGCTTCGGAAGTGTGAGAGCCTGGGTTAGATCCCCAGCACCACACCTCCCCACCCCACTAAAAAAAAAAAAAAAAAAAAGCTAAAGAAAAGATAGGAAAGTAAAAATAATTTCAATATGGAAATTATCCAGTCTTCATTATGAAGGGCTATGATAAAGAGCAACAGTCAATATTAAGTTAAGTCCTGATATTTATTTATTTTGCAGTACTAGGGCTTGAACTCAGAACTTTTACCTTGAGCCACTCTACCATCCTCTCCCCACCCCCCTGCTTTTTTTTTTTTTTTTTTTTTTTTTTTTTTTTTTTTTTAAAGATAGGGTCTCATGAACTATTTGCCTAGGCCGGTTTCAAACCACGATCTTCCTGGTCTCTGCCTCCCGAATAGCTAGAATTACAGGCATGAGCCGCCAGCACCTGGCCTGATTGTTTTTAAGAACAGAGATTTTTCTACTTAAAAGTGAATTTTCTGATGAGCAGTTGTTTGTTTTTGTTGTTGTTTCTTTAGTTGAATTTTAGTATTTTTTACTTCATAAGGAAAGGGTAGATTATTGTTATTAGGAACTAATAGTGGGTGCTCCCCACCCGCATCCTGGTGCTAGGAATTGAACCCAGCATTTCACATATGCTAGACACATGGTCTATCACTGAGCTACACCCCTCAGCCCTACCAATGTAATTTTCATTGTTACTATTGATCCTTGTAAGACATAAAAAGTATTGTGCTTAAGCTGGCTCATTGACTAAAAACCAGATGTCTTCCTACAAGATTTTTCCTTACCTGACTAAAAAGCTCTGATTAGAAACCACTGCTTTAAAGCCAGGCGTTGTGGTACACATCTGTAATCCTAGCCCTTGGGGTTGGGAGGCTGAGGCAGGAAGAATATGACTCTTAAGCCATGCTACTTAGTGAGATGCTACTTAAATTAAAAAAATATATATCACTGCTCTAGGAAGAAATGTATTTTTCTCTGTGGTTATGACCCATCCTCAGTGGATTTGGTATTGTTATATTTTCTTTTCCAGAACAAAACATTGCAATATTGTAAAGGTACATTATTATATGACCATAGTAGCTATCATTTAAGATAGCTAATTTGTGTATTTCACAAGTGCAACACTGGGGAAAATATTTCTAGAGTTTTGATTGCTGACTTTGGAAGTGTATAAAATAATTTTAAAAATATATCTTAAAAAGTCATCTTTTTCCCCCCCCACAAGAGCTTCTTTTATTCTCGTAAGAATTTTATGAAGCCTTCTCATCAAGGATACCCACACCGGAATTTCCAGGAAGAAATAGAGTTTCTTAATGCAATTTTCCCAAGTAAGTTTAAATAGAATTTAAACATACTTCCTTCTTAAAGTTAGAGGGTTTAAAAACTATAAAAAGGTAATTTTCTGTTAAGATATGTGAATACTTTATTAAATTATGTTGTATGTGCACATGTACTTTTTTTGTTATTCATTTATTCACATGTACATACATTGTTTGGGTCATTTCTCCACCCTTGCCCCATCCCCCACCCTCGCACATGCACTTGTAAAAAATAATTGTGCATCTCAAGCCAGTGCTGTGTAAGTAGAATCATTATATCATGGAAACTGGGCACTGGTGTTCATGCCTGTAGTGGCAGCTACTCAGGAGGATTGCTTGAGTTTAGGAGAGAGGCTGGGCTAGGCCTGGCTAGACAACATAGCAAGACCCCTGTATGTAAAAACAAAAGAAAAAGAAAATCATGCCGTTGGATGGTTTTTCATATAGCAGAGACATTTCATCTTCACCTAGCCGGTACCTCCAATTTGTATTTAATTCAGTGGCTTTTCACATCACATCATACGGCCTTTGACATAGGAAGGTTATAATCCCTTCCACAAGTGTGATCATAAATCTCTGTTAAAAAAATCCAGTCTAGAACTTTATACTTTATTGAACTGGCTCAACCACTTAAAATTAGCTTTTTTTTTCCCTTTCATCCCTTTCCCAAGTTTATTTATAGAGGTTACAGGACAGGAAGTTATCTAATTCAGCATCATTACTAGATGAGACTGTAAGTCTAGGATAATTTAATGACTTTCCACAGCCACTCACAGGTATGATTATAAAAAATAAAATCCTGGGAGCTGGAGTTATAGCCAGTGGTGAGTCCCTGTTTAACCTGTGTGAAGCTCTGGGTTTGATCCTAACCAACATACATAAAAAATCAACTGACTTTCCAGTAACTTAACCACATCAACTGTGAAACCATAGGCTATAGGAGAGTAGTGAATATTTGGTGCAAGTAGCTTACAAGTGTTGATTTACTGTGTTGAGTGAAACCTTGAAGCAAAATGTGAAGGAATGTAACATAAACTGACTTGGATTTAATTAGATGAATAAACAGGTAACAGGAAATTCCTTTTTCCTGTGGGTGTCGAAGGGAAAGTAAGCTATAGTTTTCTCAATCATTCAGACCAACCCACTAATTGAAACATATCTTTCAGTGTCGGCCAGGAAAAGAGGCAAGGGAGGAGATCCTACCCATCTTGGAATTAACCCCTTAATTTCAATTTCTCTTCATTGATGACATTCCTAGTATGTCCCAAATAGTATAACACACTCCAGCTTTTTGGATGGGTGGTAATAGCCATCCTGTTAAGTGGATGTTAAATTCATTTTACATTCTTGTTCCTTCAACAGATGGAGCAGCATATTGTATGGGACGTATGAATTCTGACTGTTGGTATGTTTGATAGAGTTTTGTGGATATTTTTGTTGTCCATATAAGATTTATTTTAAGCTATCAGTTGTCATTTTTAGAAACTTTTTAAATTTTTATATAGGTACTTGTATACTTTGGATTTCCCAGAGAGTCGGGTAATCAGTCAGCCAGATCAAACCCTGGAAATTCTGATGAGTGAGCTTGACCCAGCAGTTATGGACCAGTTCTACATGAAAGATGGTGTTACTGCAAAGGATGTCACTCGTGTAAGAATTTTCAAGAAAAAATTGTTGCTAGAATCTACTGCATTAGGACTACATTTAAAAAAAATCTTTCTCAGTTTATTTTTCAAATGTGTGTTTAATTTTGTCTTTCATCTTTTCCCCAGGAGAGTGGAATTCGTGACCTGATACCAGGTTCTGTCATTGATGCCACACTGTTCAATCCTTGTGGGTATTCGATGAATGGGATGAAATCGGATGTAAGTAACTACATCACTTTTCAGTAATTTTTTTATATTTAAACATTCCTTTTCTATTACTAACAAAAAAACTGTTTCTCTAAGGGAACTTATTGGACTATTCACATCACTCCAGAACCAGAATTTTCTTATGTTAGCTTTGAAACAAATTTAAGTCAGACCTCCTATGATGACCTGATCAGGAAAGTTGTGGAAGTCTTCAAGCCAGGAAAATTTGTGACCACCTTGTTTGTTAATCAGGTGATTTTTTTTTTTTTTTCCTTTTTTCTTGGGATGTTAGAGATTAAACCCAGGGGGCTTTTCATATACTTGTCAAGTGCTCTACATCTCATCTGTCTTCCTTCTCCCCCTTCCCCCCATAATTTGATTCTCATTGACAAAATCTGAAAGGAAATGAGGATAGTGAGAGGCCTATGCCAGTGGCTCACATTTGTCATCCTAGCTACTTGGGAGGCGGAGATCAGGAGAATCTCAGTTCAGAGCCAGCCCTAGGCAAATAATTTATATCTGGCCAAATTGATGGCTCCTTCTGTCCTGTTCATTTTCTCTGACAGGCTTGGTGGGGGACAATAAAATGGCAGTTCTGCTAAGAGATCTATTTGTTGCATAACTTGTTTAAAAATACTCTGCAGATTAGAGGCACTAAGGGTTATTTTGTTTTTCTTTGTCCCAGAGTTCTAAATGTCGCACAGTGCTTTCTTCACCCCAGAAGATTGAAGGCTTTAAACGTCTTGATTGCCAGAGTGCTATGTTCAATGATTACAATTTTGTTTTTACCAGTTTTGCTAAGAAGCAGCAACAACAGCAGAGTTGATTAAGAAAAATGAAGAAAAAACGCAAAAAGAGAAGATGCATAGGAGGTGGTGGCTGCTTTCTAGATGTTGATACTGGGGGTCATGCTTTACATTATCACCACCTTATAGTTGCAGAAAGCCCTAGATGTAATGATAGTGTAATCATTTTGAAGTGTATGCATTATTATATCAAGGAGTTAGATATCTTGCATGAATGCTCTCTTCTGTCTTTAGATATTCTATGCCACTCTTGCTGTGAAATTGAAGTGCATGTAGAAAAAGCCTTTTACTATATGAAACTTTACAACACTTGTGAAAATAATTCAATTTGGTTTATGCACATTATAATATTTCTCCAGGTATCATCCAAAATTCCCCACAGACAAGGCTTTCGTCCTCATTAGGTGTTGGCCTCAGCCTAACCATCTGGGACTGTTCTATTAAATTGCTGCCAGAATTTTGCATCCAGTTACCTCCACTTTTTACAACATGTTCTCTACTAATGTTATTGAAACCAATTTCTACTTCATATAGATGTTTTTTGCAACAGCAATTAAAGTTTTTCTTCCACAAGTTGGATCCTCTTTAAGATTATTCCAGTTATCATTCGTGTATTACTATTTTAATAATTGTTCTTGCATTTGTAGTCTTTAAATTGGTTTCTTCCCTCACCATGGTGTCTTCTCCCAGCCCCCCAAATAAAGCAATACACTATAATACTGTGGGTTTATGTACTCATCTTAGAGCCCAGATAGGAGTAGGGGGGGGATGGTTCCTGGGCTTAGTTTCCTTTCAACAGCATAAGAACATTAACCTCCTTTTCACTGGCCATGGCTTGTGTTGGAAGATGAGCGACAAAATTGAATGTATCCAAAAAAATTTTTTTGAAACTTGTCCAGTGTTGATTAGCAGGGTGGGACCTAAAGAGAATTGTACATCAAGAACTCTATGGAAACCATCAGCTATGTGGTACTCTTCGGATGGAGCACCATGCCTTTACTGACTTGCTAAGAAGTGGTATAAAAGGATTTTCATCAGTATTGAACAGAGAAAATTTATCATAAAGGTTGTCCTGGATTCACTAAGTCTAGGCAGCTTAGATCATTCACCTAAACTAATACTTTTAGCAGCCATTACCACTAATTTCCATTAATGGTTCAAAGCAGAATCAGTGGCTTTTCCATCTTGTGACTTAGTTCTGTGATTTTTTTTTTTTTTTTTTCCCTGTGATTTTTTGATGCATGTAAGTTCTGTACCTGTATGGTCTTTCTTTTACCATGGCATTCACGGGATCAAATAAATAACTGTCCAGGTCATTCAGATAGCTGTGTAGCAGAATATATGAAATACAGAATTTCAAAAATATTAAACAGGAAATGACTAGAAAAAATGCTTTGAAGAGTTGGCTTTTTTTATTTTTTTAAGCTATGTCTACAAATACTGTGGCATTTAAGCAATTGAGAAGAACAAAGTTTGCTAAGTTTTGTATTGTCCTCACAATATTAATTTCTGGATTGATGCAGTGATGTCTTATTCCTTCCGTATATATAAATGAAACACCTTTTTTTAGTGTTTCTAAACAAAATCTACTTGGTTTGAAATCAAGTGGTTGAAACACTGTTTTGACTTCTGTTTTAGCATGCTGTTGATCAAATGTTTAAGGAAGCTTTCAATCAACCTTACCCAATTTGATTCTGTAATGAGCACAGCCCCTAGTGTTTTGACTTGTGTTGAGAGGATCAATTCTCAAGGTGGATTTTGTTCTTGAACAGCATCCCAGTAGATTTGATGACGTTTTGTTGGCTTGAGGTCTGATTTTTTTTTCTTCTAATAGAATTAAGAATTCTAATGTTAAAAACTTGCACAAGTATGTGTGGAGAAAAAGCCTAGAAAAAACGAGAACTGTAGATTGAATAGTAATCTATCCCTAGTGTGTTTTAGAGGAGGGAAAATTTTGGTGCCATAATTTCTCTCTTCATTGGTGTTGGACTTTAATCAGTTGAAATGTACTTCTGTACCACAATGTAAGCTTCAATAAAAGTTTGCTTAATTAATTGTCAAGTGACATTCAGAAAGTTTTCTGTTGACTTTTATGTCTTCCTGACTAAATACTGTAGAGAAGTCAAAAGTTTTAAAAGGAAGGATCCAACCTTTATAGATTAGGCTCTTAATCCATGGGGGTATGGAGGATTTCATTTGTGATACTTCTGTCCAATGAGAACAGATTTATAGCTTGGTCAGACAAGTACATATGTCATGATTTTTGGGGGCAGGCAAGCACTCCCACCCTGAGGCCTGATCTAATTATTTGGTGGTATTGGGGTTTGATCTCAGGGCCTTGCATTTATGCAGACATACTAACCACTTCAGCTCCCAGTCCTCTTTTGCTTTCATTTCTTGAATATAGGGTCTCATAGTACTGGCCTGGATGGCAGTTCTTTGGACATTTCCCACAAAGCTGATGACACGCCTGCCATGCCCAACTTTTTATTGATTGAGATTGGGTCAAATGTTTTTTTCTTGGACTGGCCTCATCCAATTAATTCAACTAATGATCATTTTCATGAATTGACAAAATTTCATTTTGTCTCCTGTCTCTTCTGAAGATAATTTTATGCAAATGTATATTCCAATCTTTCATAAATAAGCTTAAGTGAGAAAATACTTGGCCAGATTTCTGCTAAAAACAAAGACCTGGCAGGGCATACCTGTAGATCAGCTATCCCAGGAGTTCCAGGCCACCCTGAGCAACATATGGCCTGTCTTGGTGGATCCCTTCCTGATCTGAGGCCAGCCCCAGGCAAAAACTGAAGACCCTCCACCCAGAAGTGTAAAAGCAAAAAAAGGGCTGGAGGTGTAGCTCAAGTAATGTCCTTACCCAACAAGCAGAAGGTGGTAAGTCCATGTACCACCAATTAAAAAGGTAATGCTAAAAACCCAGTACTACATTTGAATGCAGTGCCTCCTAAACAAAGATAAGTGAGTTTTGGTAAGTCACTAGTGACCAGTCATTGTGTTAAAAGGATCAGTGAGCTTTCATCCCAAGCACAAAGGTGGTAAATGTGACATTTAATAATCCCCATCAAACACCACAACCCCATCCACCTTTATCTTGTCATGCAAGAGGTGCTGCTATTTTTGGTTCCATTCCTTCCTGCCTTCAAAAACTATTAATGAATTTGCAGTGTATTTCAGTCTCTGATACGGTTAACTGTAGATATTCTGTTGATCGCTTTCTTCAAACATTGCCATTTGTTTTACTCCCCTGGCTTTCCTCCCACTTTCCTTTGCTCCTTCTCAGCCCTTTTTACTAGTCTCTCGAGTGACAAGTATCTAAATCTTTATTTCAAAACTGAACTTAAGATGTTTTTGTAACTTAAGTCACCTGGAGGATGCTCAGAACTTAATCCTATGTTGAAATTGATGCTGAGTCAAAGCTAGAGGTTTGTGACTTCTAGATGGTCAGAAAACCATTGAAGAGACTTGCCAAGGGATATCCAACAAATTTGCATATTTGTCTTAGAGCCCAGAAAAATAGATTGAGGTTTGTAAATAACATTAATTTAAACTGGGCACTGGTGGCTCACAACTACTTACTTAGCTACTCAGGAGGCAGAGATCAGGAGGATCCAGGTTGGAAGCCAGCCCTGGGCAAATAGTTTGCCAGACCCCATCTCCAAAATAACCAAAGCAAAATGGACTGGAAGCACGGCTTGAGTGGTAGAGTGCCTGCTTTGTAGGTGCAAAGCCCTGAGTTCAAGACCCAATCCAGAGCAATGATTCAAGGCCAGACTATTTCTGTTTTTGCCTGAAAGTGAATGTAGCTCAGTGGAAGAGCTGGTAGAGCCCTTCCTGCTGTAGTGAGGCGCTCAGTTCCATCTCCAGTGGAAAGTGGAGAATGCTATTTCTGTCCTTGTGTATGGTGGAACATTAGGACTGAAACAGTCCCCCCCGTACATTCTAATAAAAATGGAAGGGAAAAAAGACTGAAACAGGCAGGCAAACTTTGAGAACAAGAAGGAAAGTATAAATTGTTTAAAGAAACTGTCCAAGTTACACAACTAGAAAGTATAGATCCCGGATTGAAACTAGCAGTCTGACTTTAGCTCATTGTTTGAATCACTACATTGTTTCTCAGCTAAATCTTTTTTTTTTTTTCCCCAAGTCTTCCGTTTACACCTACTTAGAATTTAGGAATTCAGTTACTTACAATTCAGAAATTGTAAATATAATCTCCATAATTTGTAGCATATCTGTTTCTGGTGGCTTCAGCCTTACCTTTCAGCATTTTAATGATTGTAAAAAAACATTGAGATACAGGATAAATGCAACCCAGTTGCTCAGATTTGATGCTGATGGTCTGTAAATAGTTCCTAGGGAGGACAATCTGGCATTTCCAGCTTCTCAGAGTTTCTCAAAACTTCCCAAAGTTTCTCAAAACATGCATATGCATATATAACTATACAAAGTTGCATATAGAAACACCAAAAACTTCTCAGTTAATGTGCTCATAAGGTCTACGCAATTACATACAAGAATAAAACTACATGAGTGTTCAGTCAAAAATACTGATAGAGACAGGTACCCCGTGGCTTATCCTGTAATGAGGCAGAGATCAGGAGAATTGTGGATCAAAGCCAGCACAGGCAAATAGCTCAAGAGACCCTATCTCGAAAATACCCAACACAAAAAAGGGCAGTCGGAATGGCTTAAGTAGTGGAGCACCTGCCCAGCAAGCATGAGTCCCAGAGTTCAAGCACTGCAAAACAAAAACTAAGTATGAGTTAAATGCTGGCCATAGGGCTGGGTGTGAAGAATATTAAAAATGAGCCATAATCTGCCCATTGGATCTGAGACTAGTAGATGAGCCAGAATGTTAAAATAACGTGCTATAAGGCTGTGACATTCTTGAGGCAGATCTTTTCAGAGACCAGGGTGAATTGCCTGCTATTGGTGTGGTAAGGGAAGTGGAAGGGGAAGCGGGTTCTGGTGGGATGGAAAGACTGGTGGGTGCTATCGTGCCCAAGCCATGGCAGAGGCATTTTTCCTTTAGTTACCAGGAGTATTGTGTACTCATAGCTCACAGCTGTGTCCCTTTCTAGAAATTGTTCTCAACAAATTGTATAAAAAACTACTTGAAAAAATTTCAAGTGTTTGAAGTCATTTGCGTGGGAGGTTAGGCAAAAAAGATAACCCTGATGGCAGCTTTAAAAGAGACTGCAGAAAGTTCGGTTGGATATCAGACCAATTAGACTAGAAACATCTGAAATTTTCTGACATGAAGTGTCAGAAACAGAAAAGGCTAATAGGCTAAGGAGATGAAAAGTAGTCCTAAAGAGTTTTCTGATTTTGTTCTACTGACAGCTCAGGAGAAAAAGGAAGATTGAGATAGAAGGTAGATTTGCTTTTGGATATCTTGAGTTCAATGAGGCAAAATGCATATAAAGAAACTAGAGTGGCTATGCTAGGATTGTTGGATTATGGGCACTTCCAAAAAAAAAAAAAAACCACTAAATACTTTCTCAAAGTATTACTACTTAAATTTGAAAGAAATGCAGTAAGCTTGGGTGACGGTGGCTCACACCTATGATGCGAGCTACTTGAGAGCTTGAGATCATGAGGATCACAGTTCGAGACCACCCTAGGCAAACAGTTCATAAGACCCCCCCCCCCACCTCCAGGACAAAATGGACTGGAGTTGTGGCTCAAGTGGTAGA